TAGCAATTTTAATTAAATCAATATGCGAATTATGCATAATCACTTGAAAGATTTATTTCATGAATGTAAAGGCTTTTCTCACCCGTATAAATTATTTCAAGTATGAGTGAACACCCTCAACGTGTATAACCGTGCGCCTCAAGGAGAGTGAGTAGAACATTACAGCGCTTTGTTCAAAATTCCAACAATATCACGGCGGGGGACACCAGAAAGGGGTTCACAAATTGTACTCATGTGGAGAATCAAACCCGGGTCTTTGGTGTGACGACCCGTGAAGGTCCGGGTTAGAATTGATCTTCAGCAGCCCATGCTTGTCGTAAGAGGCGACTAACGGGATCGGATGGTCAGGCACGCTCACTTGGTTGACACATGTCATCGGTTAACAATAATGTGTAGACCGATGATCATGCTGCTGATCACTGGATTGTCTGGTCCAGACTCGATTATTTACAGACCGCCGCTGGGCTCCACTTGCACAAAGCGATCTTAGCGCTACAATGATTGTAACTCCCATTCTCCAACATAGGCTTAAGATAGTCGTAGCGCTAAGATCGCTTTATTGCAAGTGGGCCCTGGAATATTGCTGAGTGCGGCGTAAACTAAACTCACTCTCTCACTTTGTCCCGACTAGCGACCGCCCCTACAAGCCACAGGCCCTCGTGTCTTTGCGAGGATTAGAGATTTTATAAAATATATACACAAATTTGAGATGACCCCCCGACTCGAAATGCTTCGCAGTACAATACATCATAATGTAATATACTGTGAAGCATTTCGAGTCGGGGTCATCTCAAAAACAATATTTGTTTAATCATTAATCCTGGCAAAGACACGAGGGCCTGTGCTACAAGCATAGCGAGTGAGTGAGAGAGTAACTTCGGTTTGTCGCCGTTTGAACAGTTTTCAAGTGATATCACGTTTCACTGAATGGGTGTGAGTGGAGACACCAGAAATGGGCTTCACACATTGTACCCATGTGGGGATTCGAACCCGGGTCTTCGGCGTGACGAGCCAACGCTTTGACCATTAGGCTACCCCACCGCCCCTTCACTGAATGGAGGTACGTCCAGTAGACGTTGAACAAGTCTCTTCCGTTTGAAGTGTCAATACAGGAAGCGAGTACTAATTTGACGGAATCAGTCACACTGACCGCAACTGTCGTTCGGAGTATCCGTGCAAATGTTTTCTGCTGTGATTTATATGACGATTCAAACGTCTTAATACTTTTTAGTCAGTCTGTTGAATAAATAAAAACATTTGTCAGTCAACTGGTAAAATGTCGTTAACAATTTGGCTGTCACAAAGACCATGAAATAGACAACGTCTAAGTAGTATGTGATACTTATTAGTTAATGGTATCGCGATACTTTGAAGAAACGAAAGCGACTCCGTTGAATTCTACAAGAAAACATTACAAATATAACTAAAATAACTAGAATATATTTACCATATCAAGTAGTTACCTTCTTTGAGTGGCAAGTTAGAAGCTGGAAGTACAATATAGTACAAACTTTATTGAAAACAGCTAGCCGAGACTATGAGTGCGACGTTACGATACAGATTATTGTACCGTTGTCACGCTGGAATGGTTCCAAGAATCTGTATCGAAACGTCGCACTCACGAATAAAAGAAGTTGTTTTCAATAAAGTTTGTTCTATACAAGTAGTTACCGTGTTCCGGGAATGTGTCGGTCAGTACCAAGAGGGATATATCCATATACATATATCTGCAGCTGTCCAAGGAAATATGTCATATGACATGTGTCTTTAAAACAATGTAATATACATGTATAGAGGATTTTTCTCGTGACATTTCTCGTAACACGAAAATCGTGATATTTTCACACGTTGTTTTTTTGCATACCGCATATTTTACTTGACAAATATAAAATATGATATTTATCATATCATACATTATTCAAGTTTTGTGTCCTTAAATTGAAACATGAATCCGAGACAATTCGGTTAAGGAAATCCACATTCTCCCAAACTGTAAAATTATATAGACACTATTTTTTCTCCTTTGTTCACACACACAGATGAGACATAGTTCGGTATTCGAAAACATAATATAAATCGAAACAAAACATGTGTCAGTTGCTATCTTTTTACTTATTACATATATTCAATATTTTATTATTATTTATTTATTTATTTTAATTAATTAATTAATTAATTTATTTATTTATTTAAGCACTTTGGTCGTGTTAGTACTTGGTCATTTCTATGCTGACCGATGTGTCGGATAAGTCGAACTTTCCCCTTGGTTCCGACGAGTTCGACACAACGGGGTTTGACTTTATATGTGAAAACACTTTCCAAGAAAAGTATAAGTACTACTCTCAGAGTGAGGCTATAAACCGCTTGCATACAAAGTCCGCAGCATAACCTACTCTACCACTGCGGCTTCCACAAAAATAAGATCATTTACATGTACTTTGTTCATCCCTCTAAAAAGTGTTTTGTTTGTTGTTTAACGCTGAACTCAGCAATATTCCAGCTATATGGCGACGGTTTATAAATAATCGAGTTTGGACCAGACAATCCAATCAGCATCATGAGCATCGACCTACGCGATTGGGATTCGATGACAGGTGTCTGACCACAGGCTCCCGTTAGTCGCCTCTTCGGTGTCTGGAGACCAACAGGAAAGACCACACAGACGTCAGTGTTTTGATCACGTGACACGCCCGAGCACATCCGGTAGGCAGAAGGTAAACATAAAAACGAGAGAACCACACAAGCTGCACACATCTGATCGTCGACTACGGCCCAATGCTAGGAGTAAACAGTATCTGTTGACCATCCCCAATAGGATTCAATCCAAAATGTACTAGAATCCGCACTTTACAGAGAAAGTGTAATCCCAAATTTAACGTATGTTACATTGACTTCTTTCCTCAAAGGCATTGTGTATTCTGTCACAAATTTCTTAAAACTGTAAACATTTACTGTAACATGTAAAATGAATTCGCGTATGACAACGATTGCGTTCCATCGGATAATACAGGTCCAATCTATGGGCGCGTTGCAAGCCGTGAATCGCTTAGAGTGAGCAAATTAATCACTTGTCCCGGACATCAGCCGCTTGCCCACTCTCCTAAAATGGCAGAGTGATTACTTTGTGTGGTCGAGCTGCCCTAATGAAGAGCGAATTAGAAGAGTCTCGATGACGAGTTGATGAATTTATTACAATTTGTGACAACATTGAAGATGTGGAACAAACTGGTGATGCTGGGAAGTCAGCTTCTTTTACCCATTTCCCCGCTAATGCATTCAAACATTTCTTATTCAGCTGTCAAACTCAAATTTCCCTCAATCGCCATTTTGGCTTCACAAGGAACGACCTCAGTGAGCGATTGGTGCGACTGCAGGCGGCTGGAAGTAGCGCTTCGCAGTAATGTGAATTTCTGTAAATTGCTTGCAAGCGATTGGCTGTTGGCAACGCACCCTATGACTTTCGTCCCAGACAACGCAGTACCACAAACCATGACGTTACAGTTAGCACCCAGTACACCGTGACAACGGCGAACATAAGTAGGTGTTAGGTAGATATGACAACGGACATCGATGAGTAGGTGTTAGGTAGAGCACTGACAGTCCCCGTTAACCCCCGGTAACGGAGCAGGGCCGTGTTCGTCAACAGGAAAACTTTGATGTCGTAACGCTTGACCGCATCAAAAGACTGGTTTGTGGATTGGGGTGGCTCCACGGTCTGTACTCAGTGTACTAAGTCATAGTGTCAGAATATCGCAGTATCATGGTTCGGAAATAAATAACGTAAGACTTAGCGTGATACTTTGTTGATGTGCAAACGAGTATGGTGAATTATAGACTAAGCAAAGCACGTTGACCTTCAGTTTTATACAGGAAAATGTGGCAAGGGTTAACAGGTACAAACTTCACGAGGCAAAAATAACAGTGTAAATTTACGGAATTTCAGATGTTTAGCTTGTCGCTAATGAGAGACGTACACAAACATGGAAATTGAGAACCTGCGGCATGTTTACCGGGTTGACACAGTTTCCATTGTTCAAATAACAACCATAAAAGAGGAATTGTTTATACAAAATGAAATTTTGTGCATGCGCTATGAATCATATATGCAATAGATACCAGTATATACAGATGAACCATACACACATACCGGATCCTACACAAACAAAACCCAACAACAACACAAATACATCGTGTATAGACATGAAGATTATATTTTGTATACAAATTAAATAATACATTGGATCATGATCGTACATTAAATCCTATGAGAAACCACAAACAAATGATCCACATTCACAACCAATACACATTGCTGTTCTTTTCAAAAGCATTAGCGACAAAACACAACACAAAACGCATCACAAAACGCAACACAAAACCCCAAGATTGAATCATGAATCAAAGTGGATCAAACCCCAAACTTGACACGTACCGGAAATTATTTTTTTGAAGTTATTAATTTATTCACAATGGAATCAGATGCGAAAATATGTTTTTCTTCACAAAGAACAAGTGCATGTACAATAGATAAAACAGAAATTAGAAACTTACACAGGAAATAAATTATAGCACGAAGAAGATTATGTATCCGTTATAATGACCAGAATAGACTATACACGAAGAATACATCTTACATATGAACCATCAACATTAAAAATGAGATACTACGAGTTTGGGATAATGATACTTGAGATATTTTTTCAGTAATGGGATAATGGTACATGAGATACTTTGAGTTTGAGAGAATGATACATGAGATACTTTGAGTTTGAGAGAATGATACATGAGATACTTTGAGTTTGGGAGAATGATACTTGAGATACTTTGAGTTTGGGAGAATGATACATGAGACACGTTGAGTTTGGGAGAATGATACATGAGACACGTTGAGTTTGTGAGAATGATACATGAGACACGTTGAGTTTGTGAGAATGATACATGAGATACTTTGAGTTTGGGAGAATGATACTTGAGATACTTTGAGCTTGGGAGAATAACACACGAGATACTTTGAGTTTGGGAGAATGATACATGAGATACTTTGAGTTTGGGAGAATGATACTTAAGATACTTTGAGTTTGGGAGAATGATACATGAGACACGTTGAGTTTGGGAGAATGATACATGAGACACGTTGAGTTTGGGAGAATGATACATGAGACACGTTGAGTTTGGGAGAATGATACATGAGACACGTTGAGTTTGGGAGAATGATACATGAGACACGTTGGGTTTGGGAGAATGATACATGAGACACGTTGAGTTTGGGAGAATGATACATGAGACACGTTGGGTTTGGGAGAATGATACATAAGACACGTTGAGTTTGGGAGAATGATACATGAGACACGTTGAGTGTGAGAATGATACATGAGACACGTTGAGTTTGTGAGAATGATACATGAGACACGTTGTGTTTGGGAGAATGATACATGAGACACGTTGAGTTTGTGAGAATGATACATGAGATACTTTGAGTTTGTGAGAATGATACTTGAGACACGTTGAGTTTGGGAGAATGATACATGAGACACGTTGAGTTTGGGAGAATGATACATGAGACACGTTGTGTTTGGGAGAATGATACATGAGACACGTTGAGTTTGTGAGAATGATACATGAGACACGTTGAGTTTGGGAGAATGATACATGAGACACGTTGAGTTTGGGAGAATGATACATGAGACACGTTGTGTTTGGGAGAATGATAATGAGACACGTTGTGTTTGGGAGAATGATACATGAGACACGTTGAGTTTGGGAGAATGATATCTGATATCCTTGTTCTGTCAAGTGACATGGAGTAAAGGTTGGTAGTAGTGAACGAGGGTACAGTACAGAACGTACCCAAAGCACATTTTGTCAAGCGTTATATAACTTGAGATACTTTGAGTTTGGGAGAATGATACTTGAGATTACCTTGTGTTTGGGACGTCCTTGTTGGCGTCAACAACTGATGATGACGTTAGAAAATGTCTTTTACTACAGCTAACAATATAATGTATAACAAAATAGTTAAATTCGCGCGTGTATTGTATTTACGTAATGACTTCTAATAGACATCATCGCACTTCCACCATTTTGAAATATTAACAATTAGGCATTTTTCTTGCAATTGTCTTCATATGACATATTTGTTAACATCACAGGAGAGCCAAATTAAAGAACTGTTTGAAATCTTAGAATACCTCATAGCTTATTCAATTTTAAATAGACGAAGGGAATCTTTTTATTAAAAAATCATATTTTCCACATAAATGACGCACCTAACATAAAAGTTTATTCAAAGCAGCATGTCCTGATTGGCGAATATATGACAGGCTATTCAAATAACACACCATCAAACAAAGCCGAGTGACGCTGCAAAACAATGTAAATATATATAAACAACGTGATACATCATGCAGTGACATGTTACGACTTGGGATAACCCTCTGACGTCATAGAGTGTTTAGGAATAATATCTGAGACAACTTATACACAAATGTACGCACATCTACGCCACTAGACGACTCTCTTACGTTGAGCATAACAAGGCACATTTACCAGCTAAGATATTAATCATGCATGCTATGTATGGCCTCATCAGTGACATACGTATTGTATGGTATTGAATTGTGTAATCATTTTCTTGATAACTCGTTAGTCATATTGGACTGAATATTTACTGTTGTTGAGGGCCTTGGATGAAAACTTGTTATGAAAATGCTGGAAGGAAATGATAAATGATAATTCACCGGAAATGCTTGTGTTTCGGGGTAAAAAATGGGATTTGGTTTCCATTCATGTTCTGTTCAGTATGTTGTTGTGTCTTGATGAAATCACGGCGCTATGAATTATGTGGTTGACAAAAACCCCACTCTTCTCCATGTTAAAATATTAAAGTGACGATCCTTCAGCATGAAGGAGTATCAACCATGTTCATCAAAGCTACTAATCTTCATCCTATGTGACTCAGCAAGGTATTAATAAAAGCCTGATCGGTTGGTTGGGTAAAGAAAATCTCACCAAGACAACATTAGTTCATTCATTCTTGCAGCGAAGCATAATTGTTTAATGGTTGATTGTGCATATGTCTAACGGTGCTTTGCTCGTTACAACATACACGAACGCCATCCAGTCATAGTTAACCAAAAACGTCACTGCCATTCGATAGGGTGAATGAGATAATACAGTTTTGGTAAACTTATCGAAGGTAATGCATTTAGACCTGTTCTTGCCATTGGGGGATTTTAATTGGTCATATTTCATGGAATACAGAACATCAAAATGTATTGATATTTTTTGCCAAAATAAAGACACACGTATACTATGAGAACACACACACACACACACACACACACACACACACACACACACACACACACACACACACACACACACACACACACACACACACACACACACACACACACACACACACACACACACACACACACACACACACACACATACATACATACATACATACATGTTGATATTGACATGTGACATGAAGTTGAAACGCACTCACATTTATTTTTTATTTCAGTGTAGTTCTTCAACTTCACATTGTTAAAAAATATTCATCTTCTACGGTGTCCATACTGTTCATCTTTACATTATTCATCTTTTTATCATCTTTACAATGTCCATATGCTTGATCCTTTCATTACTCTCATTCCTCTGCATTACATTGTTCTTATTGTTCATCTTTACTGTTTTCATATTGTTTTCTTATTGTTCATCTTTACGGTGTTCCTTTGTTGATGTTTACACTGTTCTTATTGTTCATCTTTATTGTTTTCATATTATGTCTTTCAGTAGCATTTAGAAGTTGTACATTGTACATTGTTGTGTATTGACAATTCAACTTTCAACTCTATTATCTAGCATGAATTTTGATCATTATGTAATTAACTCTTCAACCTCACTTATACAGTACTCTCCCTAGTGCACTGTGATGTCACTTGCATTGTGACGTCATAACTCAGTTATGACGTCATAGTGACGACGTCATAGTCCTAACTGCCAGTTCACCGGATGAAGGGACCTGGAATGGTCTCGAAACGTCGTGAGAGAAATTAAAAAGAAGTTTAATCCATAAAAATATCTTGTTTCCATATTGTTTATCTGTACGGTGTTCCTTTGTTGATGTTTACAATGTTCTTATTGTTCATCTTTACTGTTTTCATATTTTTCATCCTTACAGTGTTCTTTTGTTGATGTTTACACTGTTCTTATTGTTCATCTTTACTGTTTTCATAATGTTCATCTTTACGGTGTTCTTTTGTTGATGTTTACACTGTTCTTATTGTTCATCTTAACTGTTTCACATTGTTCATCTTTACGGTGTTCTTTTGTTGATGTTTACACTGTTCTTATTGTTCATCTTTACTGTTTTCATAATGTTCATCTTTACGGTGTTCTTTTGTTGATGTTTACACTGTTCTTATTGTTCATCTTTACTGATTCACATTGTTCATCTTTACGGTGTTCTTTTGTTGATGTTTACACTGTTCTTATTGTTCATCTTTACTGTTTTCATAATGTTCATCTTTACGGTGTTCTTTTGTTGATGTTTACATTGTTCTTATTGTTCATCTTTACTGTTTCACATTGTTCATCTTTACGGTGTTCTTTTGTTGATGTTTACACTGTTCTTATTGTTCATCTTTACTGTTTTTCATAATGTTCATCTTTACGGTGTTCTTTTGTTGATGTTTACATTGTTCTTATTGTTCATCTTTACTGTTTCACATTGTTCATCTTTACGGTGTTCTTTTGTTGATGTTTACACTGTTCTTATTGTTCATCTTTACTGTTTTCATAATGTTCATCTTTACGGTGTTCTTTTGTTGATGTTTACATTGTTCTTATTGTTCATCTTTACTGTTTTCATAATGTTCATCTTTACGGTGTTCTTATGTTGATGTTTACACTGCTCTTATTGTTCATCTTTACTGTTTTAATATTTTTCGTCTTTACGGTGTACTTTTGTTGATGCCTACAGTGTTCTTATTGTTCATCTTTACTGTTTTCACATTGTTCATCTTTACGGTGTTCTTTTGTTGATGTTTACAGTGTTCTTATTGTTCATCTTTACTGTTTTCATATTTTTCATCTTTACGGTGTTCTTTTGTTGATGCCTACAGTGTTCTTATTGTTCATCTTTACTGTTTTCATAATGTTCATCTTTACGGTGTTCTTATGTTGATGTTTACACTGTTCTTATTGTTCATCTTTACTGTTTCACATTGTTCATCTTTACGGTGTTCTTTTGTTGATGTTTACACTGTTCTTATTGTTCATCTTTACTGTTTTCACATTGTTCATCTTTACAATGTTCTTTTGTTGATGTTTACACTGCTCTTATTGTTCATCTTTACTGTTTTAATATTTTTCGTCTTTACGGTGTACTTTTGTTGATGCCTACAGTGTTCTTATTGTTCATCTTTACTGTTTTCATATTGTTCATCTTTACTGTTGTTTTGTTGATGTTTACAGTGTTCTTATTGTTCATCTTTACTGTTTTCATATTTTTCATCTTTACGGTGTTCTTTTGTTGATGCCTACAGTGTTCTTATTGTTCATCTTTACTGTTTTCATATTTTTCATCTTTACGGTGTTCTTTTGTTGATGTTTACACTGTTCAAAATTGTTTATCTTTACATTGTTCTTAACAATGTCTAAATGCTTAATCTTTTCATTACTCTCATTCCTCAGCTTTGTGTCGTTCTTACTGTTCATCTTTACAATGTTCTTTTGTTGATGTTTACACTTTTCTTATTGTTCATCTGTACAATGTTCTTTTGTTGATGGGGCGGTGGGGTAGCCTAGTGGTTAAAGCGTTGGCTCGTCACGCCAAAGACCCGGGTTCGAACTTCACATGGGTACAAAAACGCGTGAAGCCCATTTCTGGTGTCCCCCGCCGTGATGTTGCTTGAATATTGCTAAAAGCGGCGTAAAGCTAAAACTTGATCTTTACACTGTTCTTATTGTTACTTATTACTTTTTTACATTTTTGCA